TGATCGCTATGTAGCCATCTGCAAACCCCTGCATTACACAACCATCATGAGCACCAGAGTGTGTATCCAGCTGGTTCTCTGCTCTTGGCTAGGTGGGTTCCTAATTATTTTATACCCAATCATCCAGACCAGTCAACTGAATTTCTGTGCCTCCAATGTGCTGAATCATTATATTTGTGACTATGGACCCCTCATAGAAGTATCTTGCTCAGACACAAGACTCCTGGAACTAATTGACTTCATCTTAGCAGTTGTGACCTTGGCTGTTACCCTAGTGCTGGTGATTCTCTCCTACACAAATATCATCAGGACCATTCTGAAGATTCCCTCTGCCCAGCAAAGGAAAAAGGCCTTTTCCACATGTTCCTCCCACATGATTGTCATCTCTCTTTCTTATGGCAGCTGCATCTTCATGTACCTAAAACCTTCAGCAAAAGAAGGCATTGCCTTCAATAAGGGAGTAGCTGTGCTCAATACATCAGTGGTCCCTTTATTGAACCCCTTCATTTACACTCTAAGGAATAAACAAGTAAAACAAGCCTTCAGGGATGTGGCCAGAAAGATTATGAGTGAGTCATAAGTGAATTTAAGAAGTTTCTAAATGATATTCATGTTCTTCCCCATGAAAACTCACAGGGAGCTTCTCTAACTTTTCCCTTGTTAAACAACAACTTCAATTTTCACAAATCAATTTTCATGAATCAGATGCATTTTCATGAGGAGATAACAAATATTTCAAACATGCCAACAAAGGGATATTCTTCAGGGAAAAAAAAAACAAACAAATCAAAATTCAACATTTCATTATAATTGATAGATTATTATACTTTAAAAAAAAAGTAGCTAAATAATATTGACAGTCTGAGTACATGAAAGAAGTATAAAACTCACTAGGACTGTCACGGGACTGATGCTCTGCTGAGCTTGCTGGTAAAATTTAGATTTATAACTGGAGCTCTTAATTTTTATCAAAGTCTATAAGGAAACTGTCCAAACATTTTATCAGAAATACTAGATATTTCCAAGAAACTGAGAACAAAATCAAGCCAGCTACCAGGAAGTCCATTCTGACTATGGCAACATCATGAGTGCAGAGTAGAACTGTTCCACTGGGTTTTCAAGACAGTGATATTTCAGAAGCAAATTGCCCCAAGCACTTAACCATTTGCACCACTCAGAGACTGAGACATTTACACAAAGGTGCTAGTAATTGCATCTTATAATAAAACTTTGCTCCAAGCCAGCTTAATCTAAGGTTTGAAACAGTTTTCTTTCTTCAGAGAAATCATTTTGCTCTGAGAACTCTATACCTGTCTCTTCTTCAGACACTTACTATAAAATGAGTTCCTGTTGTAGAAGTGACATTTCTGACTCTATCTCTCTTTCTAGTCATGGAATAGGAATGAAAATTAGTACAAGGAGAGGATCTCTAACAGACTGAACATTCAACATTTTCTAGGGAAAAATTCACGTGTGGGCCGTGTTGGCAATGGCCAAAACCTATAGAATGCAATCACTTTTCTGTGCTTTGGGGACATACTTTGTAGATGAACCTGAGAAGTCTGGGAGTGAAATGGACTGCCTAAGAATGTCATAGGAAAGAGCATTCAAATTGTTTAAGGGTTGGTTTTTCAAAGGGCAGCATAAGGGGAGAGGATAAAGAATGTATGATAGGTTTCTATGATCTATTAAAGTGGTAAGATGTTACTTCTAAGTGGACTGTGAGAAGTTAAGCATGCATATTATATTCCCTACCTTAAAAACTAAACAAAAGGATACAGTCAAAATCACAGGAAGTAAATGGATTAAAATGGAATGCTAGAAAATATTCAAATAAGTCAAAAGTACACAGGAAAATTAAAAACAGAAGGATCAACCAGTAAATACATAACTGCATGGGGGGGCATAAATCTAAACATATGAATGATTATGTTAAATGTAACTGTAAATGTTAAATGTAAATGTAAATATTTACCATTAAATATGCAGAGATTGTGGGAATGGATTTTTTAAGCTATTGTGAGTCAATCTGAAGCCAGAATTCTAGCAGCCTCCAGGAAAATCTTTAACCAGAAACCTTTTAGTGTCAGTAGTGCTAACAGAACTTTTGTAATTCTAAACACTCCTTAGGGCTTTTATCTGCCCTCCAGTCTCAGCAGGTATCAAGGAACTTCCTCCGAACTCAGCAC